GCGGTACGTGGGCCTCTCACTGTTGTGGCCTCTCCCTTTGCGGAGCACAGGCTCCGGACGCGCAGGCTCAGCGGCCACGGCTCACGGGCCCAGCCGCTCCGCGGCATGTGTGATCTTCCCAGACCGGGGCACGAACCCGTGTCCCCTGCGTCGGCAGGCGGACTCTCAACCACTGCGCCACCAGGGAGGCCCAGGACATTTTTAAGAGTAAAAGGGGCTCTCCTGATAACCGTGCTGAGACAGCTGGCGTCACTAGGAGTGTCCTGGTGACACGGTGGGGCGGGGCGCACCGTCACCCTATTCTTCGGGAGCTTTCCCCACCTCCTCACCAGGATGCTGCTTCGTGGCCGATATTTCTGTCTCGGTTGGAGCCTGTCAGTAAATCCCACAGCCGCATGCACCCGCGACCCCATGCCCGCTCGGCCGGCCAGGAGCCAGCTGAGGGATCTTCCTGCAGCAGGAGTGTGGTTTCACCATCACCGCAGGGCTCAGGTGTGGGAACCACAGGTAGCACGGGTAGAGCCACACCGCGAAGCGTCTGAGAATCTCAACGCCGGAGGCCCCGTTCACGGTGGGAAACCACAGGCCACGTCACAACCCTGAGGACCTGGTCCTGGCCCCGGGAGGTTCTGATATTTAGGGACTGGGGTGGGCTCAGGAATCTGCGTTAGGTAAAAGGTCACGGGGATTCTGGCGCCCAGCCAGGGCGCAGAGCTGGGAGCCAGTGCCACCCAGAAGCGGCCAGTTTCAGAAGTGTCACCACTGAGGGCCAGGAGGTGGCACTGGGGGGCAACAAAAGAGCTGATTGCAGCCGCTGCTGCGGACCCAGTGAGGCGGGTCCCGGGTGGGGTGATGGTCCAGGGGCTGCATTCTCCCTGATGGCACCTGTGAATGCAGCCCGCCAGGAAAGGGCACACGGAAAGAGCACAAAATCGGGAAAGTTGTACCTTTAAAACGAAGTAATCAAACGTAAAAAAGAAGTGATTCAAGTTAATGTTTCGAAAGCTGGTCCAGGCAGGGCCTAACGCAGGGGTGTAGCTGGTGAGGGCCGCCGGGGTCTTTGCTGAGAGCTTTTCTTCGGCTATAGGTTTACCTGACTGAGTGCAGAGCTCACCTGACGTCCACAGTAAGTCTTTTGTGCTCACAAGGATGCCGGGGTGCCCCTGGCCCCCGAGGAAGGTGGACGATCCGTGGGGCTTCCAGACTAAAACCCCAGAATGCACTCCATCACCCTTTTGTAGTGACCTGAGGGAACAGAACACCGGCCAGGCCAGCGTGACTGGGGGAAAGAGGGAAGACTGAGGCTGTGCTGGGGGTCGGGGCACAGGCCTGGGGGCTCAGGTGAAGAAGACGTCCTGAGGGGCCAGAGGAGGGAGGCCCGGGGCTGAGAAGCAAGTGAAATGAGACTGAAAGTGGAGAGCTTAGTTTGGGAAAAGGTGACTTAGCTCCAGGCCTGCTTCACCCACACACTGCGGTGTCTTCAGACTGCTTAGGAAGCGGTCAGTGAAGGGGACCATTGGTGAAGCTGGTGCAGAGTATTCGTTTGCTGCTGTGATTCAGACCAGCTCTAACTGATGCTCAGATAGGCCTTTGGGAGGCCAGTAGAGGGCCTTGCCTGGTTGCTTCACAGCAGATGGAGGGGTGGGTGGGCGGATGGACGGATGGTCTTGTCCTGGTGGAGTCATGCAGGCGTCCATTGCAGGTGGGCCTGAGCCAGGCCCCGGAGGGAAAAGTGGAGACGGTGAGCACACGGATGAGGACAGAGAACAGGACACAGGGGCCCAGGCCCAGCCCGTTGGAAGCAAAGTAAGTCTTCCCCCAGCCCCGCCCTCCCTGATGCTGGAGGCTTGGATTCTGATTTCCTGAAAATCTCAGGCTCTCCATCACTCCGCGGGGCAGGAGCACGAAGAGCCGCCTGCCTCCACCGTGCCCCGCAGCCTCTGAGTTCACTGAGCACCAAGCAGCAGGGTGCTCTCGGCACAGGTCTCACCATAGGAAACCCCAGAGCAAGCTGCCGGGGAGCAGGGCCTGCAGAGAGGCCTTCCTGGACCTCCAGCCCTGCCTGGACATCAAGCCAGCGTCCTCAGGGCACGTGGTCATGAGGGCACTGGTGTCCCCCGGAGACAGCCTTTGCACCTTTCAGGGACCCCCTCCGGCTTTCCTCTATGAACTTCCTTGCTTTTGTTTATAGGCAGCCGTGAGCCTTGTTTTTTATTGGTGTCTGCTTCTGCTTTCACTTATTTTTCAACTGATTTTTGGTGATAAAGACGAGCAGGGTAATCCCCAGGGTTTCTGGGCAGGTTGACAGAAGGGCAGCAGGAGGGAGGGGAGGGGTGGGGCGGGCGGTGATGTTGGCTGGAGACCCTTGGAGAGTGACAGGGTCTCTGAGAACCACGCCGGCTGGTCTGCGCGGCTGGTCCCCAGGGACCGTAGGCATCTTTTTATGAGAAAATTTTATGTCCCGTTGACTAAGCTCAGCGAATACTCTCCAGTGTTGAATATTCCCT